GAGAATCTTCTTTGTTTTGATTATGTTGCATGTCTACGTCACATATGGCGAATGGATATCATGCTCCAGTAAGGGATGGAGCTTTCTTGTTGACGAAGGCAAATGAGGTAGGTTACTTGCTTTGAAACTACTCTTAAGGAGGTAAAAGCAATGGTTTTAGAGGATTACGGAATCGAGCAAACTAAAACGATCGAGTGCAGTTATTTACCTGAGGATTTGATTTTTTCTTGTGTCTTCTGTTTTAAGTTTGATAACTATGGGACTATGATATTTGAGATTAAGTTTGATCACTATGCAACTTTGTGCTTAATTCGTGTGCATCAATGGAAGTGAAAGGAAAACCAATATGTACTAATAGAAAAAGATAGTAATTAGATAGTAGCCAAGAAACCTGTAACAAAACACAGACTCGTCCTACAATATACAACATGAACTATACAAACATGCTACTATCGTAACACATATCACAATTTTCTTAAATGTTGCCTTCAACGTCTTTACTTCACATTCTAGCTTCTTTGTCTTCTTGAGAAGCTTCCCTAATGTATCCATCATATGCTTCTCACACCGTACTATTTTTCCAATGTCGTCAACAATTGATTCTTTTTTTTTTATAGAACATCAAACTCTTCCAACTGATACTCCTTAGCCCACTTGAAAACATGGCCAAAAGCTCTATCATTTGAGGCTGTGGAAAACTTACGTCCCGGATTCATCTCTGTTGTTGATTTGAGAATTGTAGTGGGCTTACCACAAGTACATCGTCTTGGAATACCCCTAACGTAACTGCTACGAGTTGATCACGATGATATGTTACTCATGAAGTTGTGTATCAATTTCCCCGAGTATCCTAGACCACTATCATGGCAATCCATGATATGAGAGAAGAGAGGATCTGCCTTCATGTCATCGTAATCCATTGGCAGCATCACGTGCACTTTCTTGAGAATCGACATCCTGCAGCTGTTGTTGATCTTTCTAACCAGTTCATGCCGTTCTCTAAAAATTCTTTTAGATAACTCTTAATTCATGCCTAAAATGAATTAAACAATGAAACTATCAAAACTTGGATACGTGATTAACATTTTTAAATATTATCAAAGTATTATGAACGTATTCAGAAAGAATAAAGTAACAAAAC